AATGATTCCGTATTGTATCGATCGTTTTTGTTGCTCTGTGAAACAGGAACTAACCTAACATTCGTGGTTTGTTTTGTTGTTCCGTTGGTGAGATGCTGACTGCAGAGAGCACTAACATTGTCACTCTACCGTGTGTATGTGTTAGTAAATTCGGGTTTTACGATTTTTGGGACATAATCAAAGCTACAGCCTAAACGGTAAAAGTAAACCCCTACTCATATATAATTTTTAGAATCCTCGTAACTTCAGGATGTTCCCTCGAAATAACCATAATTTCATTCCAGAATAGTGTAAGCGAGAAATTCAATGATAAACGTCAGCAGGTCGGGTCGCCCATTGCACCCGAAAAGCAGTTCAGACGCAATATTTTTCTTAGGATGCCTTGGTTATTAATGAAACTTAAACGCGCACTACACGGGAACATGACAATTCTTTTGATATAACATTATATAGGGCTCCGATGTCTCGTATTCTCCATAGCTTTGACAGAGCGTGAAAATGGTCAAAGTGGATACTTTTTGCTATTTTAGGCACATATGCGTAATTATCTCGTTTAATAAATCATCAACCTCCTTGAAACTCAACAGTCTGTTAGACGGGACCGAGACGCATCTTTAGACACCAAAATTTCTGAAATCCGTCGCTCCGTTGCTTTGAAAAGTTTATCGAACCGCAACTAAAAACCCAAATAAGCCAAGTTCGTGTAACTATGGTGTCGTTGCCTCGACCGGACTGTGCTGTGTTGCCAATTGTTGGAGGATAGGTTACTTGCCCGGTGGTGGCTACCGCCACTCATGATATATATATGAAAAGGGCCACAATGAGGTGTAGAACGGAAAAGTGGTGATATATACGGGCCACTAAGGCGGCCCACAATTGTACATCGAATATCCACTTTCATATTTAGAAAACAAATCCGTCGAAATGAATTCTCAATGCATTTCAGCTTCCCACACGTCTAAATGAACATTTTTAATTTGAAAAAAAGAGGGTACTTTAATTTTTTCCTTGTTAAACGTGCATTTGAAAAATGTGCCACAACTGTACGTCATTTTACCGACGGGCCTATATCATTAATATAAACTTCGAAGGATTCAAACTTTCAGCGATTCCACCTTTTTCTATTTCACTCGAGAGGTTGCCAGATTGTGCGATAAATGTGAAGATTTTACATGGATTTGACTTGAAAAAAGTGCTAAAAAAAGCAACTTATCTGGCAACAATAGAGTCTGGGAAGGACGAGAGGCTGCCTTCCTAGGAAAACCCATGATTTAGCCGGAAATGTCATTGAAACAATTAATTCCGTTGGAAGCATCAGTTGTATACTGGGGGAAAGCTACTTTAAAATAATAATTGTAAATGGACACAGATGCTAGGTACAGAAAGGGGAAAAGGAAAGGGAAAGGAAAGGAAATGAGGATATGATTACCAATATGCAATCAGAGAGAATAAAACAAAAACATCAGAGAAATTTATATGCGATGAAAGTATAAGGAAAAAACACGAGTGGGCTATTGCGATTCGGAACTCGAACTATACTATCGTTGAGTAGTTTTCAGATCTCTACGCCACCGATAATTTTCTTAAGAGGTAAAGATGAACTTTTGCTACTTCAGCAAGTCGAATCACGGAAGGAGATCCATGGATGGTCTTTTTCCACCACCCAATGGAATGGCGTCCCAGTCTAATGCGTTTTTGAAGAAATGATCGAAAAATGGCTCGCGGAGCGAGCCGAATGTCACTCGCGTAGCGAGTGATCGGGGGTCCATGGGGCGCAGCCCCTTGGCTGGCCGTGACGGACGCGCAAAGCGCGTCCAGAACGGCTAGTGTGTGTGTATATATATATATAAACTTTGAAGGATTCAGACTTTCAGCGATTCCACCTTTTTCTATTTCACTGGAGAGGTTGCCAGATTGTGCGATAAATGTAAATATTTTACATGGATTTGAATTGGGAACAGTGCAGAAAAAGCAACTTACCTATCTGGCAACAATAGAGTCCAGGATGGACGAGAGGCTGCCTTCCTGGGAAAACTCATGATTTAGCTGGAAATGTCATTAAAACAATTGATTCCGTTTGAAGCATCAATTGTATACTAAGGGAAAGTTTTTTAAAATAATCATTGTAAATGGACACAGATGCTACAGAGAGGGCAAAAGGAAAGGGAAAGGAAACTATACTATCGTTGAGCAGTTTTTAGACCCCTACGCCACCGATAATCTTCTTAAGAGGTAAATATGAAATTTTGCTACTTCAGCAAGTCAAATCGCGGAAGGAGATTCATGGACTGTCAACCCGATGGGATGACGTCCCCGTCAAATGCGTTTTTGAAGAAATGATCGATCCCCATCATCGCTTCATCTCCACACATCTATTCATGTGCAAACGATGGCATGCTCCGGGAACAGGGTTCTGTGACGAAATCATATTTGCCTCCAGAGTCTCCAAAATGTATACATCTTAGTGGTCAAATTTCCAATCACTGAGAAAAATGGCTCGCGGGGCGAGGCGAATGTCACTCGTGCAGCGAGTGATCGGGGGTCCAGGGGGCGCAGCCCCTTGGCTGGCCGTGACGGACGCATGAAGCGCGTCCAGAACGGCTAGTACGTAAATATACGTGGATGCAAATACTTAAATAATGTACTATTTTTTAGAGCGAGCTGGCATCATGTGATACTTAAAAATGAATTTTACCATTTCTTTTCATCATTTTTAGTATTATCTATTTGTGTCTGTGCACAATGTCTTGAAAATTGGAGGTGTATTTGTAAACCCTGTATCAAAGTCAAATGAAAGCCCAAAACCACCTGAAAAATGGCCAAATTTTCCCAGAAAATCGTGATTTCTTACGGAACGGGCAACATCGGGCAGATGAACCGCTGATTTTCTGAAAGTACACATACCACTGAATAAATTCACGAGCACAAAAGTTCGGTGTTTGACGGTGCTTTTTTTTTTTGGCATTCCATGAAAGTGGAAAAAAGGGTTAAAAATGAGCAGTATTTCAAAATGCAATATTCGCCACAAAAAAAAGGATTTAAAAATTGGAAAAACCAAAAATAATTAGTACCAGTAGGAATGAAGCTGCCAGAAAGGATAGAATGGCACTGAAGCCTGTTGATCAGAATGCTCCTCATTGTTGTCATCTGCAATCGGCTTCTAATCAGGAGCTCAGGACTCGCTGAAAACGACCACCTGTGCGGGCACTAGGTATCGATAAAAATCGATACTATCGCTGACAATAGTGTTGCCAGATATACCACTTAACGTTCATCACATAATTTTTGGGAAATTTCGGCTTTCATTTTTAGGGGGGATATTTGTCACCAATCAACGCACTGTGCGCCGACTAGGGGCGAGAGAGGGTGCCAAAGGCGAGAGAGGGTGCCAAAGGCGAGAGAGGTTGCCAAAGGCGAGAGAGGGTGCCAAAGGCGAGAGAGGGTGCCAAAGGCAAGAGAGGGTGCCAAATGCAAGAACGGGTGCCAACTAGGGGCTAGAGAGGTTGCCAAAGGCAAGAACGGGTGCCAACTAGGGGCTAGATAGGGTGCCAACTAGGGGCTAGAGAGGGTGCCAACTAGGAGCGAGAGAGGATGCCAACTAGAGGCGAGAGAGGTATATACATGAACAATGAAAAAGACATGAAAACAAAAATGATGAGTGGAGCCCCAAATGGAAGGGAAAATAATAGAGTTCAAATCATATGATCAAGCATCAAGATGCGGTGTAGAGAGACGGAGAGACGGAGAGACGGAGTGGAGGAAGATGAGCTGGGCGGAGAAAGGAGAGGTAAAAAGTCAGAAGAAATGTCAGCTGAGAGAGCAGGCGCACAGGTGCCGTTTATATTCGCACAGTCACAATCACAAGTCAATATTAGGCCTTGTCTCGACGGGCCGTTTCACGAGATTTGTCCGAGGGAAAAATCCCACTTACGAAGTTGGGAAACTTATTGAGTTAATCAATATTTTTCCCAGTACCAAGTATGGTCCTTTTACCCTTAGGACCCACTGAAAGAAGAAGTAGAAGTGTAAATATATATTGTTGCGATATTTTGTTGATTACTACATTGTTCATGTCCGTTTCTGCATAGACTCAACAAGCGTCGTCGCTCCAAAAAGCTGTTTACAAAAATGGTCACATCTCGCGAACAAAAAATTTCCAAGCGAGGTATAATACATCGATGGATGCTGAGTCAAACGAGCTATCGATTAGACAACTTAAAATTCAAATCGAAAGGAGGCCTTTTTTTGATAATTGCGGATTTGTAAAAATTGGCGAATTTAAAAGTCGAACAATTGGCAACGATGCATGTTAAAATTAATACGACATTAAAACCATTGAGATATTTTTAACTTGTGCGTTTTTTAAAACATTTTCGTCCAAACCGTAACTTCGTAGCTCAATTTTTATGTCACTTACGGAATTTTCCTATTTCCAGCTTGGCAACGCTGTATAGCGCGTGGGAAAAATTTTCGGTGAACTTGCCAATGCCGGAAAAAGGCGTGTCTCGTGATAGGAAACATTATATCCAACTCCGGGCAAAATCCATGAGAGGGGCAAAATCGCCGATTTTGAATAAAACTCTTTCAAGGATTGTATTTAGAGGATAATTTTACGAGGAAACCAATGCAACCTCTTCTAGCGCCTCAAATTTTTGTATAAGCGGAGTTATAGGCGTTTAAAGTTTCCATTTGTCTGATCTCTTCTATCGACTCGATCCACTGTGTGCCGCGGGAAGACGCTCTTTAGGTTCCGTGCCTTAATACTGGTCGCTCTCCGAATTGCCCTCCGTTATTTTACCTCATTTTAATATTATTGATGGCCGGATTGACGGATAAAAACAGCGCAATGGTAGCAGCTTGTGGCAATTTTGACGGACGTATGTATAAGGGAAGTTTTACTTCATATACAACATTTGTGACTATTAGTTGATACCTACTGTGTATTCACAACGGTATAAATGTAGTAAAATAGTCAAAGTTAAAAAAAGAGCATCACATACGAGTCATTCCGGAAGTAACTGATGTTATCTCCGCATCTTCTCCAACCTATCTGATTCAAGGCTGCATCTTTTGTTGAGTACAACAACGGCTTCATACCAAAAGAATATAGGCTATCGCCTTTTGACAGATTAACGATGGAAAATCTGAGAACATTCATAGTACAAAGCCAGAAAGGCAAAATTGTATAGTAATGTTGTGAAGATTCAACTAAGTATTCTTCAAAGTCAGCGAACATTGTCAAGCAATGTGTGGAGGTAGTAGCACTATGTATATATGGGTTTGTGTTGGTAGCCGAGTGCTAGAAATAATGCAAAAAAATGTTTTAAAAAAAAAACACTTACATTTTATTAATAAAGTACCGAAGCTTTTCGAGGCGGACGCCTCATCGTCAGGGTAACAACAAAATTAATATCACAAAGGCCGTTGCCATACTTAAAATTCAAACTAGGTAACAAGTGATAACAAGCTATTATATCAGTCTTACTAATCAAAACAAAGTCAAGTAGTATCAAGTTAGTATCTGTTTTTCATCATAGATGGCAGCACATTTTAGGTACAGGGGGTTAGTTGCCAGGTCTACTTCTTTTTGTACATTTAATAATTCTTCCCCTCTTTTTACTGCCTTAGTTATTTCATATTTCTCTAGGATGCTAAGCATTTTACTGTCCCTGTTTTTGTGTAGAATTTTAATTTATTTTATCTGATATTTTTCTGTTTTGATGTGCTTAAATACGTTCGAGGATGGAAGAGTCAAGTGTTCATTAACTCTACAGTTGATTGAGCGCTCGGTTTTTCCAATATATATTTTCTTGCATGAATTACAATCTAAACGGTAAACGCCAGTTATTTTCTTACTATTATCACTATTGCTTTTACCTTTTTTGATTTTGTTGGTGACCTTCCTTATATTGTCTAGTACGCTGTTATTAGTCTTAAAAGCTGTTTTGTACTCAGTTTTTTTGAAACAATTGCTAATTTTTGAGCTAACAGGGCCAAAATAATCGATTTTTACATATTTGTCGTTATTTTTGGGTTTTTTAGCCTCATTGCTGTTGGCATCAGAGTGCTGTTTTTTATGTCTCTTTAAAATTTTGTTAACAATATATTTGGGGAATCCATTAATTTTAGCAATATTCTGGATAATTCCAATTTCCTCTTGTCTATGTTTGTGGCTAAGAGGAATGGAAAACACTCTATGTGCCATTGCATGAATTGCAGCGTGTTTATGGCTGTTAGGGTTATTAGAATGGAATGGAATTATACTATTAGTGGCTGTAGGTTTACGAAATATTTTGAATTGGATGAGGTTATCCTTGTCGACAATTACAGTAAGATCTAAGAAATTAATTTGGTTATTACTCATATGTTCTATGGTGAATTGAATGTGTTTTGAGAGGCTATTTAGGTATTTTAAGAATTGGTTTATGATCCGGTCAGTCCCAACAAAAACAAAAAAGGTGTCATCAACATATCTGTAATATTTTTTGATGTTTTTAAAGAAAGGATTTTTGTCATTCATAATGTTCATTTCTTCAAAATTATTTAAGAACACTGAAGAATGACGATTCAAAAAATGATGAAAAAACAACAGTAGACCTAAAGGTTGAAAGAAAGTGAATTGTACCGAGGGACCAATTGAAGAAATGATAGGAAAGAAAGAAAAGATGGAATAGGATATGAGGTATTGAAGCGAGACAAGTGAAGAGCCGCAGCGACCCCCCAATTTGCCTTTGCTCGGAAAATGAGAGTGAGAAGAGAAAGATTTGAGGTGACTGCAAAATTGATTTAATGATCTGGAAGAGATCCTGCTTGGAGTTTTTATTTTTACCAAACTCAGAGTGAATCGGCTACTATCCTTGGATAGGAAACCTGAAGAGTTACCAGGTGTATAGTACACCGGCTTCTGCAGTGAGCAGGAAAACCAGAAGGGTTTGAATATTGAGAGCTATGTGCGATTGCACCTATTATTATTCCAGATTCCGAAGAATCGGCTTCTCCAAATTGGAGGTGGTATACAAACTGTATGAGTCCGAAATAGAGATGACTGGAAGGTGAATAATTTTGAATGCTTGAAATGATGAATTTGCTTCGTTCTGTGTAATGATGACCGCTAATGCTTGACCTTGGTGCCAATATAACGGGAAACTGAACTTCGGTCTTGATCCAAAAAACGCCAGTTTCTTGCTGAGCTCCTTAGGATATTTCTTCAGCTGCTTGCTTGGCTTGATTTGACTTGATCCTTGTTGAGAGCTTGAGAGTGAGGTGCTTCTTGGTCGACTGCTGCATTCAGAGTGAATTAATTAGCGACTTGCGGGTATATTTATATGCAGATTTCCTTTGTGTGCGAATGCGGGAAACCAACTCGCTTGTGATTGGTCGGTTGGCGAAGCAAGAATGAATTGGGCGGGAAAGCTGCCGCTGACCGCTGAATTTGTATTGCGCGGGCTCAGTTGTGGCGAAGTTCAAATCTCGTGCGCCGCGGTGACTTGTGATTGGCTGCGGCGGGTACTGCGATTGCGCGCTGACTCGTCATTGGCGGCGGCGCTTGCGTGCTGCTGAACAAAGGATCTCATTACTGCGCGGTTGAAAGTTGACGTCTAGTGCAGAGTTGTTCGCCCGATCACCAAGGTTAAGCTACATTGATCGTAATGCTTGAAATGGAGACCGTTTGGGAACATTGCAATTTTACATCATTTTACACGTTTTAATTTTGTGAATTGGTCTGATATGAGTTGAGAATGCTGAGAAATTGATTTCTAGAATTTATTATAATTATTATTATTTTTTATAAAGGGGAAATCAGACATACTCCCCCCGTTGAACGAGCACGCGTTCAACAGAGAAGTGTTTCAAAAAATTTGTTATTGTAGAAGCTCATATTTGGTGGCCCTGAAAAGGGCCGTTTTAAGTGATGGTTAAGCTTGAAGCTTAGTCGAACAATCGGCGATGATGTCGAGCGGAGCGTTTGCGATTGCGCAGTTGGGTGCCTGTAGGTTTCTCTCCGTATTTTTCTTTGCTCTTGTTTACTTGATACCGTCTTTTCCTTTGATCGACTTTATTATTTCCAGTGTTATCGTAGTAGAACACTGTCGGCGAAGAGAAGGGTATGAAGTTTGGTATGCGATCCGGGAAAATCGCTCTGATCCACGGCAAGGAATAAAATGATTCCCGTTGCTTGGAGATGGTGTTCGTGACCTGGGCGGAGTGCATGGTTCTGTTGATCGTTCAATTGGTGAAGGCATGGTGAATAATGTGACAGGTTTCTTGACTTTCAGCTGCTTTCCTTTTGGCTCACGGCGGATTTTGGAAGGCGCTGTGATTTTTTTGGCTGTGACCTTTTTTCTCGGTGGAGCTGCTTTCCATTCTTTGTTTTTGACAACAGATGCCGGTAGGTGGTCATGAGGGTCAGCGGATCGTCTCTTGGATTGCTGTGCCGGTTTTAATGGAATCGGCTCTATTAGCTGAGCCAGCCTTGTTGGTCGTGTTTGAGTTCTTGTGGTGAAATTGTCAGGTAGCTCCTTGGCGGGGTCAAAGTTCAATAGCGTTGACAAAATATCCATCGTGCTCCAGATACTTGACTTGACTTCTCGAAAGGTTGCAGGTGAATAAAATTTTAATTCGCGACGTCCTGCTTTTATAGGGAAAAAATTTTGCGCGCGCAAAATTTTGGCGGGACAAATGATTACTGAAGTTGAATTTCGCGCGCAATCCCTTTTGGCGAGAAGACGCCCTATTGGTCCTTGTCTGAACTTATGGGGAGGCGGCAAAGCTTGGAAACTGGGCGCCGTAAAGTCCCCGTGGTGGTCTTGACATCGACGACGCGTGTGACGTCATCAGGGCCTGGAAAGCACTTGGTGACTCGTCCTAATCTCCATTGCTAAGGAGGTAAATTATTGTCTTGAATAATGACGAGATCATCAATTTTTATTGGATCAGTTTCTTGAGTCCATTTTGATCGCTGCCTCAGACAGTTGATGTACTCATTTTTCCAAGTTTGCCAAAAATGTTGACTGGCTTTGTTTATCAAGCCCCATCTATCCACACGATTAGAAGGAGTTTCTGTAAGATTTTCTTCGGGTAAGGCGTTGAGTGGGCGACCAACAAGAAAATGACCTGGGGTCAAGGCGTCCATATCTGATGGATCTGTTGATAGAGGGCAGAGCGGCCTAGAGTTCATTATTGCCTCCACTCGAGTCACGAGTGTAGTCATCTCTTCGAAGGTGAAAATTTGAGTACCCATGATTCTTTTGAGATGATGTTTTGCGGATTTTATCCCTGCTTCATGTAGTCCACCAAAATTTGGCGCGGAAGCGGGCTGAAAATGCCAATTGATTTCCTTTTTGCATAGATTTTCCGCAATGCTTGTTTCATTAGTTTTTAAGAATGCATATAGCTCTTTTAAAGAGTTATTCATTCCTACGAAGTTGGTACCGTTATCAGAGAACATATTTTTGCATAATCCTCGGCGAGAGACAAATCGAGCTAATGCGCCTTCAAAGGCCTTTGTAGTCAATTCGCTTACAAATTCCAGGTGTACTGCTTTAGTAGCCATACAAATAAATAAGGCTAAATACCCCTTCGTTTGCCTTGCATTTCTGAGCTCGTTTACTTTGACTTGGAATGGTCCGCCGTAGTCACACGCTGTATTGAGAAACGGATATGCTGCCTGAACCCTCCATTTTGGTAAATCGCCCATAAGTGGCTGCGTGAATTTTGGTCTGACTTTAAAGCACTGGATGCACTTTTGAAGTTTAGATCTGACTACAGCACGCCCATTAATTATCCAAAATCGCTGATTGATTGCTGCTAAAGTTGAGCTGGGACCGCCGTGAAGTGTCATATCATGATAATAGTCGATTACCAGTCGAGTGAAATGATGATTTTTGGGCAATAAAATGGGAAATTTGAAGTCGTAGCTCATGTCTGAGTGCATGAGTCTACCACCGACTCGCAATAATCCCTGTTCATCTAAAAAGGGACGAAGTTTGCATAGGGAGGCCGGGCTCTCTTTTTTCTCGCTCAGTGTTCTGATCTCTGTTTTAAATTCTTTGCCTTGAATAATTTTTATCCACCAGTGCCGGGCCTCTTGGAGCTCCGTGCTGGAAATCTGTCCATAGTTCTTTTCTTGGTAGGATGCCGGGCATTATGGCTAAATCTCAACATCCATGCGGTGGTTCTGAGCAGAGGAACAAATTCTGAAAAAGATTTTAAGAAAGTTTCCTCCCATGATTCTTGTTTGTTTTGTACCAGCGTGACGATGTCCGGTAGTTTGTCGATGATTTCTGCTTTGCTTTCTGGGTCAAATGGACTCAACTTCGGCCATTTCTCTTCTGGCTCTTGCAACCATTTTGGTCCATGCCACCATAAACTGTTGTCGGCCAATCTATCTGGCATGCAGCCTCGGCTGGCCAGATCGCTCGGATTATCCTCAGACTTGACATGCCCCCAATGTTGAGGTGTTAATACTTCTAAAATTCGAGTAACTCGATTGGCGACGAATACTTTGAGCCGGTAGGGAGGAGTTTGGAGCCATGATAAGACGACTGTGGAGTCTGAATAGGCGAACACCTTCCTGATTGGATGAGCCATTGAACATATGTAGTGAGCAGCATCTAGTAGCTCTGGTAATAGCGCCGCCCCCTGCAACTCCAGCCTGGGGACGCTCACTGGTTTGAGCGGTGCCACCTTAGTTTTCGCCATTAAAAGGCTGGTTTTGACCTCACCGGAGCTGCTTTCGACCCTCAGATACACATTGCCGCTGTATCCTAATTTACTGGCGTCGCTAAAACCGACAAGATCAAATTTTACTTCATCGATCAGAGACACATGACGCGGAATACGGATCTCGGAAATTTTGATGAGTTCTTCGGTGTACTTTTTCCACTGTGCTTGAAGCTCGAGGGGCACCGCTTCGTCCCAATCTATGCCTAATAACCACAGTTGTTGAAGGAATTGCTTGCCTTTTAGCATAATTGGTGATATCAGGCCAAGTGGGTCAAAGATTTGGGCGACAACTGAGGCAATACCTCTTTTTGTGTACACCGGTGTGATTTTCTCAACCTTGAATGAGAATATATTGCTGTTTGGCTGCCATTGTAATCCGAGAAGCGATTCGGAACTGTCTGCATCTGAAAATTCTACTGGAGTTTTGAGATTGGACTCCGGCAAGTCCTCCAATATTTCTGGGTCATTGCTTGACCACTTTTTCACCTCCATGTTGCATTCACCGGCGCATTCGATTATTTCATCTCTTGCGTGTTTTGTCTCTTGAATAGAATCTGCTCCGGCCAAAATGTCATCGACGAAAACCTTTTTTGTGGGAATTTCTTTGGCTACGGGATATTTTTCGCCAGTATTTTCGCCGTGCTGGCGCATGGTGCGCAGACATACATAAGGAGAGGATGTTACTCCATATGTAACTGTTTGCAGTTCATATTCTTTGATGGGCTGAGATGGATCTTCGCGCCATAATATTCGCTGATATGGCCGATCCTCTTGATTAACTAAAATCTGACGATACATTTTGCAAACGTCTGCTGTGAAAACATACCGCGGAAATCTGAATAGAGTTAACACTTGAATTATGTCTGTCTGTAGTTTTTCTCCCTTCAGAACCACATCATTTAATGCTTTGCCAGACGTAGTTTTCATTGAAGCATCAAAAACCACCCGCATTTTTGAGCTTGTGCTGGTTTGTTTCCATATCCAATGGTGGGGGATATAATATTTGCCCTGACCTATCGAATCATTATCTACTTGTTTCATATGCCCGAGCTCCTCATATTCCTTCATGAAGTCTTTGTACGCGTTTCTGAAGTCTGGGTTTCCATTTAATCGATGCTCTAATTTGATCAGTCGATTTTTTGCAAGATGATAAGAATCCCCAAGATTCATCTTTTTTTCGGTGAGAAGCATAGGGACTGAATATCTACCATCGCTGTCTATTGAGTGTTTTTCCGTGAAAAGTTCTTCAGCTAAGAGGTCATTCGGACTTTTCAGTGGCCTTGACGGGGGCTCCTCTATCTCCCAATGTCGTCGAAGGCAAGTTTCAATTGATTCTGAATTGATGGACAGCAAAGCAGTGATTGGTGCTGATTCTGAGGTTGTCACTGCTGCTATGCGTGTTGCGTCATGCGGGGCGCTAAATTTGCCCGTCATGACCCATCCATAAATGCTGCTCAGCGCTATTGGCCAATTTTCATCGAGAATGATTTTTCTGCCATCATAAATATGAGGGTACAGGTCGGCTCCAATTAGTAGATCTACCGGACCTGGTTTCATCCACTCTGGATCTGCCAAAGTCAATGTCCTGAGAGGTTTGCTCATTG